TGAGATGCTGGCGTTTCAGGCATAATAACGTTAATTTACAAATCGACACGGGATTTTAATGAATCAATATCACTTTATTCAATTTAGCATGGATTGTAATCAGAAAGGCGATAATCAAAACCCACCCCTAATCAAGAACTTGCAAAGTAAAAACATGATCAATGTAAGGTAGCCCTTTTGTTATTTACAGTTAACAAGAGGATTAGTGTTACTGTGCGCTGGCTGAGTCTGTTTCTTTTCTTAGAAATAGTTTCTCCTGCCCTGGAGAAAATCCACTTGCATGGAACAGAAGAGGCTGTGGAGTGCAGGAACCACACTGCAAGTTGGTAGATATGCAGGTATTCCTGGGTCCTGCAGACTATCACCTAAAAACAATAAACAAAATGATTTTCTAAACTGTGTAGCAATGTCATGTACGTATAGTGTCAAATACATTTTTGTAGTCTTCATCAGCTTTAATTCACATGGAAGTGTTCCTAAAGTCATATGCTGTAATGATATTTACATTATGAAAACATGATTTTGGACATTTCAAGTTTTTCACTTCGGCAGATAAAATGAATTGAGCAAAATCAACTCAAAATATTCCCACACGCCAGAACGTCCTCTCTTCCTCGCTGGCTCCATATCTGTCAGTGGAATGATCACCTCGTCGCTATCTGTCACCATCAACACACTCCACGAATCCCGTGGATGATTCACTTCCTTATATCTGTTTGAATCAGGTACCGAAGCAGTTACGTGCGTAATGAAGCTTCGGACGTCACTGGTCACGTGACTTTTGCCAAACGAAGCAAGCCTCGGCACAGTGCTTCTGAACCAGTGTGTTGTTTTTTTCGACACACGCTCCGGAGCGTCAGCTTCAAGCGGGCCATCACTAGTTACTCTTATTATTCTTTCTGGGTCAGAAAATAAACGTTTAACGTATTTTCAGGCGAGAATGTAGCTGTGTAAACCTCAAACATCGGCTCAGTTTATCAGGACACCACATATTTTCAAAAGCGCTCCGACGTTTTCGGAGACGTCTGTTACCCACCAGCTCGATAGCTAGCCGGGGGCTAGGTCACTAGCGCGGTGAGAACACCGGACTCCCGGCAAATTGTTTTCTAACCCACCGCCGTCTTTCGCTACTCAGGTTAAATATATATGAGTCACTTAGATAAATTAAAAATGTTGTTGTTTGGCTTTTTTTTTTTGTATTTTATTTGTTCCTGAGTAAATCAGTTTGTCTGAGATTAAAGTTATAGTTTTTACACAGCTGAATAAACGTCAAGCAGACAGCTGATTATCAAAAGTGTGAGATTCTGGAGAATATACTCCGTTGTCCTGTTATATTTTAGATAGCAAGGAGTTTATTAAACTTCACCGAAACAATCTGCAAATTTCATTAAAATTGAATAAACTATCATCTTGTCTTTATTTTTAGTTAGCACCTTAAACACTTAAAGCTGTAAGCTAATGATAGTTATATAAGAGCAGATGCTGCTGGTGCAATAAGCTGTACGTTTTACGTCCAGTGGATGATGATCTGATTAGTCGACTAATCGCATAAATAATCGGTGACTAGTCGACTATCAAAATAATCGTTTGTGGCAGCCCTAATGAGAAACAACCCAAAGAGTACAAAGAGCTAGTGAGATCTACTCAACACCTGAGGTGTGATCAAAATGTCCAGAAACCTGCCAGTAATAACCCTAAACCTGGCTGATCTGCCCTTCGGGGTTATCATCTTCTGCACCTCTGATCTGGCCTCAGCCCAGCTGCTTTTTATGATAACTTCCTGACAGACACATTGCCCGCTCTTTCAACCTAACTGGATAACCCTAACTAGATATAGTTCAATACTTTTAAGTAATCAGGTAAAGTCTATGATTTTTTAAAATGTGCCTGTTCCCTGAAACTTTTCTCTGACTTCAAAGACACACTCATTAAAGACGCTCTTTTATATTGCTGGCTTTATTATTGGATAGCTGAAATGTGGTCCAATTATAGGAGTATTTTATCTATTATTTTTTTTCTAAATAAAATATAGACTGGCTTTTTCTGTAAATATTTTGTTTATAGAGGACTGACAGTGACAAAAAGCACCTCCTTCAGCTGCACATTTCATAAAAATCACACACACCTTCTGGTCTCAAAGTGTGTAACAAATGTGGAATGTGTTACAGATAATGAGATCAAACAAGGACAATGCAATACTGCCTATTGCCTAATAAAGGAAGCTTCCTAAAAAGAACAAAGCGCTGCAGAACAGGAATCAGCTGATGGTTTGTTTGAATAACAAATCTTTAAAGGGGAAATCAAACGAAGAGATCAAAGTGATGACTGTTAATCATCTGCTCAACTGACACTAGGATTAATTACTAATCTGTTATCAAAATAATCAGTTTCATTGATTGTTTTTTGCCTAACAAAAGGCCAAACATTCTGCAATACTGACCAGCCAGTATTTTTTCTATACATCTTAGGGTTTTAGATTTTTAAGGTGGAAAAAAAAAGTTCTGATACTTACTGGCCCATATTCTTTCTTTTGTTGGGTAACTGTTTCATGTTTAGATCTGTGATTATTGGTGTGAGAGAAAGAAATTAAAATGCCACATGACCATTAAAACCATTAATTTGGCAAATAATTGTCTGATTAATACCTTCTTATCTTCACAAAATCTAACTAATGTGAGTAAACTCCTTTTCTGTAAGACTGAGCTAACAGTCTTGAGTCTCCCCTGATTTCTTTATATTTTACTAGGAAAATGGGAAATGGGTGCAGCGATTTATTAAAATGTATGCAAACTTCCATGGAAAAGCAATAAAAAAGGGAAAAACAGAGCTTGTACATTCTAACAAGCTTTAAAGTCAACATTTGGTAAGATCAGGCTGAACTCTCTTAAGCAGGTTTTCTTGTAATTTATTTAAGTAGTCTTCAGGAATACTTCATGCTTACTAATGGCTCTTTGACAGCCACTTTTCCACTGATATAATTTCTGAACAGTAGATGAATCAACTGGGGGGGGGGCAAATGCATCTCTCGGGTCCTCTGTCAGGTCTTTGTCGGACTTTCAGATACTGTCCAACAGCTGTAGATCGTTTTTTTCTTCTTTGGACCTCTGTGTCTAGCTTAATCAATTTTTAAGGACACACTGCACACCAAGTCAAGCTATGCCAAGTCTTCAGCTAGTAACTTGTTAGGAATCACCTAGTTCATGCAAAAATAAAATTTCATATCTCTGAAAGTGTTATTTTTGGTACTTTTCATAGATTCGGCTAAAAAGAAACAGGAATAAATGATGTGTTAAAGCAACAGGCACCGGTAACAAACTGCCTCAAGATGAAATTTTAAATTGGTTCTTTGTTAAGTTGTCTGTTATGTGTAGAGACAACAATGGTTCATCCCTTAAGTTAGGAGCCTTTTTTAAATGCTCGAATGAGTCATAGGTCAGTCTTGAGTGGCTTAACAAACACCCGCAAAAAAGTTTGTCGGCAGACAGAGAGTAGCAGATAACAACAGACTCAATAAACTGAAGCCAGTAATGTTGTGGGTGTAGTCTCTGACAGAGGTTTCAGAAAGGAGGATACTGTCCCAGTTATGGTCAGTATTGGCCAATCCTTCACACCCTCTCCATCTTGTGCTGGACAGCCACAGCTGCTTTTTCACTCCACCATGATGGACCTCATAACCATTCCTACCAAGAGCCAACAAATATCACTTCTTTATCACACCTCACCTATTTTTACTTGTAATACCTTGTCTATACAGTAGGGGTGGGGGGAAAAAATCGATACTGTGTAGTATCGTGATATTTTGTTTGCTAATAATGTATCCATACAGGGACAGCAGAAATCGATATTTTGTTACAAAAAAAGTTTTTGTGGACTGGAACATGCTCTGACTTCAGAGCATTCAGATACAAAGTGAGTGAAAAAACAGAAGACAACATCCAAAGAAATATTTTAAAGAGCATTTCAGAAAGCCTGGAGTACTATTGCTCAAGATCACTTTAATATAAATGACAAGAAAGCTTGGATCCTATAAAGAAATAACGGGTGGCTCAAGACTTTTGCATAGTACTGTCTCTCAAGATAATGACGACAAAATAAAGGATGAAAACTGGTCAATTAGCACAATAAATATGTAGATTAAACATGCTTCTAGTGGCCAACAAAAAATAAGATCCATGGTAGGCGCAAATCAAACTGACAAAGACAATTTAAAAAATCAGTGTTTGTAAATAGTGGTATAACACCAACTAAGGTTAAGAGGACCTATGGGACGAAATTATATAATGCTAGCTCACTTTAGTAACATGTTATATTAATGTAATCCACTAACTGATGTGATATAAACAGACTAATTATATCCACGCTGAAAAGTTAGACTGGCTAACATTTGAACTTGAAAAGCGGATATTAAAAAAAGCTTACCGTTTCGTGTGTTTCAACAGTAGTGGAGCCTATAATAAACTAGTAAAGGTAATTATAAGCTGGCTATAACACACGTTTTTGTCCTCTTTTCATTCCAGTCCAGCTAGCTAACGTTAGCCACTCACTAACAGCTCGCTTTTCGTGTCGTCTCTCCAGTGGCAGCCAAACAAACAAAACCCCCTCAGTTATTGTCAAACTTTGTCGCCTGCTCACCTTCGCCTCTCCTCTCCTTGAATGCCTTGCGGGCTCTCCAGAAAGCAAATCGGAGTTTCTTTAAACGAAGCGACTGTTAAATGAGGAGATGCTAGCCGAACGGGAGCGCTGTCTGTTCATTCCTCCAGACGACACCAGCCTCTGCCTCGGTTTCTGTTTACTTTTCGGCCCCTTTATTTTTTTCGGAGGGGGGTGTAGAAAGCATACCTCGTGACAACAAACACAAACCGCCCCGTATTTCGCCGCTAAGCTGACTTTGAGTCTGTTTTCGCAAGCGACTTCGCCTCGCGGTTAGCCGTAAAACCAGAGTACGTAGGCTGATTTCTGATCAGCGAGTTTTAAAAAAATTAATGGGCACCACCCCCCTCCCACCATCCATTGAGGGGCGGGGCTCCGGCCGTGACGCAGCACGCTCACATACGTTGACGGTCACTGGGAAACATGTCGGCTTCTGAGACAACGACAAAGGTAGCTAACGTACTGCAGCTGAAAACTGCATGCTAAAGGAATTTATGTCTATTCGTCTACCTTTAAACTCCCCAGCTTACCGATACTGCATACTGCCAAGCTCCTCTTGATTTTACATGTCGATTATAATAGCTTTTTTTATTGAAACCTAGGCTGCACTGCTAGCAATGTTAGCCTGTAACAGTTTTGTGTTACCTGCAGGGTTACTCTTATCCAGATGATGTTTTGTTGCTGTTTTGTATTTATTGACCAGAAACCTTTGTAGCAATCCTCTGTATAGCAAGTATCGCACCTCGATCTGTTTTCAGGATATGTTTTTATTCGTAGTTGCTAGTTAGGAGCTTTTTTTAAGTAAATTTTGCACCAACGAGACATGGAAACCAAAAGAATTTAAGCAGTCATAGTTTAAAATCCCGTTTTAAATTCACTTTTCTATTTGGTGCACTGCTTGAGTAAGGAGTTTTTCTTGGGTCGTGTAAAAAGCATCAATGGAATTACTGACTCATGGCGGCAGTTCATGTAACATAACAGAAAATTTCACCTATTGGCCGACAGTTTTTTTTTGGAGAAGTGAAGGCCGAAAGTAGTGGGGTTTATTTTTTACCTAAAATAACATTTGTGACAGTTTTGATTGTAGTGCCAAAGAACAGACACAACACTTTTGAGATGAGTGATGCTGTGATGCTCACAGTATCCTCATATCCTTGTCCTGCTGCCCCTGGTTGAGGTCCTGTGTTGTTTGTCAGTAGGAAGCGTTTCTATCAAGAGAACTTGCTGGGCCCAAAAATATTACCATAAGGCCAGAGATAGAATGAGTGTAGTGGATACACATTTAGACCTCTAGAATGCATGTTTTTACATGTACACTGGTGTACATCCGCAAAGATGAGTAGGCTAAAATTCCTTCACAGCACTAGGAGTTATTAGGTTTAGGGGCCAATACCTTTTTCACACAGGGCCATTTGGGTTTTGATTTTCCCTTAATAATAAACAGCTTCATTTAGAAACTGCATTTTGTGTTTGCTCGTGTATTTTTTGTCTTATTATTAAATTTGTTTGATCTAAAACATTTAAGTGTGACAGACATACAAAAATAAAGGAAGGGGGGCAATACTTTTTCAAGCAACTGTATATTTTGCATGCATACAAATATACAATATAATTTCTTTGTGTATTTATTCTACCATCTTCGAGATGGTTGAACTGCAATCATTTCATTAAATCATTGAAATAAGAGCCTGTTCTATTATCAGTTTTACTCGTTTCACTTGTTTCTTGTTTTGTCCACCAGGAGCACCATGAAAATGACGAGTCAAAAACATCAGAGGAGTCATTAGCTGGGTCAAGTCAAACAAAGGAAGGTAAATCACCAGCTGGTTTATGCAGATTATGTTAATATTTGAAATATATTGAAAGACATTGTATTGGTTTGCAATTAAATGGCCTGTGAATGCCATTTGATCTCATATGAGTACAGTGAATTGTCATATTAAAGAAATCAGACTGAGATGTTTTGAGATTTATGACATGCTGCACATCATTACACTACCATCAAGCGGCAGATTGTAGCATTATGCCCAAGAAATGATTTCTCCTTGATAAACTTTAAAATTCTTGCACTCCGGATATTCCTCAGATAATGCAGCCTCCACCTCATCTGCTGCTGCCACCAAGACGGAGCCCATGGGTGTTATGTCATCACTGTTGTCGTCCCAGCAGCCCGGGAAGGATGCTTCCACAGTCAGAGAGGAAGGAGAACAATGGTCCCCTGCTGCCTCCCCCCAGAACAAACCTGCTGCTACAGGTGAGCTCAGATTGCGTTAGATGCTGTCGAAATTCTCTGCGTTGATTTCGTTGATTTAATCGGACTTAGTATACAAACTGAGGAGATAATCCCTTTTGCTTTGATTTGTCAGGTCACACAGCAAATTCCCTTCTTTCGACAACCTCGTCGTCATTGTCGTCGTCTCCTTCCACGTCCTCGACTTTGTCTCCTGGCCGAGCAAAGATGAGCGTTTCAGGGCCTGGTAGCAGTAAATCTGTCCTTCCACCTGGTCCTCCATCCTCCTCCTCTTCTTCCTCTACAACAGCTGCTTCTTCTCCATCTGTTTCCCCTGCACCACCCAAGATCCATCGGGCGCGAAAGACCATGAACAGGCCTCCACCAGGGCAGGTGAGAGAGGAGCTACTCCTATTTGGTATGAATCATATTTGGTAAATTTCTTTTGATTCTTGAGTTTTCATGATTTATTATCTGGATTTCTACCAGTTGTTAAAGGTGCTTATTGTAAATTATTGTGTTTTAAAAATGACTTTAAACCTTTCAAACTGACCTAAAGCTGTCAAGAATTTAAATGCCTGTAGAAAAATCCCTGCTGTGTGTTTAACAGGGTTTAAAACTTGAGGAAATTGGATATCATTTAGGAAAACAATTATATTTTTGTTCCTTTCCAGATTGATAAGCATATCTGGACAGTGTTCTTAAACTCAGAAAGGATCAAAAGGATATTTGTACTTTAGGTTTCTGCTTCCATCACAAGTTTGGTCTTAAGTTGCATTTAAAATGATATTAATATACCTGCAAACACTCTGGCTAATTTTTCTCCTCAGATCAGTCAAATTGAGGGACCTGTTGCATCTGTGACTCCTTCAGGATCCTCAGCCAGCTTTTCTTCTCACTCTGAACCTGGTCAGTAGGTCTAAACTCACAGTAAATGAGTAAAATGAGCATTAACTACTGCTTTACTTTAAAACTAAGCCTTGTCATGGTTTGTATCACATTGTTTTGCTTCTAAAGTTGCAAAGAGGAGGAGGCTGGATCCTTTATCAGACAGCACACCTGAGAGATCTGAAAATGTTTCCGATAACACTCATACTGAGGTGAGACACTTGTTTTGGGGGGGGGTTTGGTTTAAATAACAGTTGTTTGTGGTCCATTTCATATCTGTCTCTCATCCTACTTTCAGGAAGGAAGCTCATTCCATAAAAAAGCAGAGTCTGAAATTGCACCCGGAAAGAGCATCAGCTCCGTGGGGAAGTCCGCGGAGGAAGTAGCCGAGAGAATTCAGATTTCTAGTCCGTCCAGGCGAGATTCTGAAAAGGTTTGAAGCCATTAAAAGTAAACCCACATTACACTGCTACAGTGTGTTTATGAGCCAAACTTTAAACTAATGTAAACTAAGCTTCTTCTTTCTTTTTTTTTTGCTTTACAGTTTGAAGATGGTGAAGAAGAAACAAGACAGCAAGCTAAAGACACAGAGAGGCCAGTAAACACCTCGGATCACGTGAGTAGCTTCTTGGCTTGATATTTGCTTTCTTGTTAGATACTTCTTTCCTCATTTTTGTATTAACTTCGTGTTTCATTACTGTATTTGCACCTGTACATGTGACTCTAGCCAGCATGGCCATGCATGTACTCTAGATATGCAGGGTTATCTACAGTGGCTTGCAAAAGTATTCGGCCCCCTTGAACTTTCCCACATTTTGTCACATTACAGCCACAAACATGAATCAATTTTGTTGGAATTCCATGTGAAAGACCAATACAAAGTGGTGTACACGTGAGAAGTGGAACGAAAATCATACATGATTCCAAACATTTTTTACAAATAAATAACTGAAAAGTGGGGTGTGCGTAATTATCCAGCCCGCTTTGGTCTGAGTGCAGTCAGTTGTCCATAGATATTGTCTGATGAGTGCTAATAACTAAATAGAGTGCACCTAATGTCAGTACAAATACAGCTGCTCTGTGACGGCCTCAGAGGTTGTCTAAGAGAATATTGGGAGCAACAACACCATGAAGTCCAAAGAACACACCAGACAGGTCAGGGATAAAGTTATTGAGAAATTTAAAGCAGGCTTAGGCTACAAAAAGATTTCCCAAGCCTTGAACATCCCACGGAGCACTGTTCAAGCCATCATTCAGAAATGGAAGGAGTATGGCACAACTGTAAACCTACCAAGACAAGGCCGTCCACCTAAACTCACAGGCCGAACAAGGAGAGCGCTGATCAGAAATGCAGCCAAGAGGCCCATAGTGACTCTGGACGAGCTGCAGAGATCTCCAGCTCAGGTGGGGGAATCTGTCCATAGGACAACTATTAGCCGTGCACTGCACAAAGTTGGCCTTTATGGAAGAGTGGCAAGAAGAAAGCCATTGCTAACAGAAAACCATAAGAAGTCCCGTTTGCAGTTCGCCTTAAGCCATGTGGGGGACACAGCAAACATGTGGAAGAAGGTGCTCTGGTCAGATGAGACCAAAATGGAACTTTGTGGCCAAAATGCAAAACGCTATGTGTGGCAGGAAACTAACACAGCACATCACTCTGAACACACCATCCCCACTGTCAAATATGGTGGTGGCAGCATCATGCTCTGGGGGTGCTTCTCTTCAGCAGGTGTACACCACTTTGTATTGGTCTTTCATGTGGAATTCCAATAAAATAGATTCATGTTTGTGGCTATAATGTGATAAAATGTGGGAAAGTTCAAGGGGGCCGAATACTTTTGCAAGCCACTGTACGTGTCGTGACAAATGTCTTTAGCTCAAATAAGCCATCAATAAGTTGCAGCAGGATCATTATTAAGGAGTTGGACCATGAAGATGCTGAGACAGTACTTCATGTTTAAAGTTGCTGTCTTGTCTGTAAACTGAGGAATTTGTACTTTAAAGGTAGACGTATTGTGCTTATTTTCAATCCCATATATTTGTTCTTGGACTCTGTAAAAGTCATTTTGCACACTATAAGAGAATCCATGGATGCAGCTCTTCATTTTATCCACCAGCAAGGTGTTCTAGCGCCTATTAAGTCAGCTTTCTTCTGATTGGCTGCTCTTCGTATAAACTAGTCTTTTAGCTTGAAACTTTAACAACCTCAAAAATGCAAACTTTGGTTGGAGTTTTAAAATAATCAGCCACTACTTAAAAACCCCACTATTTCACAAATGTTATATTTTTATATTCAGATGTTTATTTTTTATTTGTCTTTTACTTTCAGAGTTCAGAGCCTAAAACACAGAGAGTGGTCAGAGAGAGCGAAGAGTCTTCGTGGCCACTGTCCGATCAGGACAAAGAGAGAAACGCGGCTGATGTCGTGGAGACAGAGGGAGGTGAGTGATGTCATCTACTTCCTACTCTCTGAACCACACTTATCTGTCAAAGAGATTGGTAACCTGAAACACGCTCCTTGAAATAAGAATTTTTTTAACAGTAAATTTTGAAAAATCCAGGCTCTTACAAAAAGCAAATTGGTCACAATTAAAAACAATGTGCCGCACTCATTCATACATCACTTTTGTATGCATAGAGGGTTTTAGTCGTTTATAATACACATCAATGCATGCACGTGGAAGGATTTAGTCAGTATCTTGCCCAAGGACATTTGCATACTGGAAAAGTTGTGAGAAAAACCACCAACCTGTCAGTTAGTGAAAATGAACATGAAGCAAAAAGCCAGAGAAACATATTGTGTTGCGCATTTGTTACACATTGGCATTAAGTGAAAAGTTAAAAGGATCATAGAAATGATCTAAGGCAGCTGTCAGATAATGCATAGAGTAGGCCGTCATCACAAACAGGACATATATGTAAAGAAAAGCTCTAAAGGACACCACTGCCACCTCAACCAGGACCTAAACACTCTTGTGAAGAGGAATCCTGTGTCCAGACTTGCAAAGATGCCACCCGCAGACTCAGAGCTGTAATTAGAACCAAAGGTGTCTTTGAAAACATGTTTTCTGCTGATCAGTGAGAAAAGGTCTAAATGGCTTTTTCAAATTTCAGTGTTGTAAAGCATTAAAAGCTGTGTAGCATGAGTGAAGAGCATCATGTTCCAGTTCCTTTTAGTGCTTACAGTTGTTTTTTTTTTTGTTTGGTTTGTCCTTGACAGGAAGGTCTGCAGAGTACACAGAGGTTCCCTTGGGTGCTCTGGACATCGCTGCTGCTGACAGTCTGACACTTTCTCCTCATCCGGGTAGGTGTAAGATGGATGTGTCGCTCTAAAGTAGATTATACAGGGGCAATAAAGTGGTGTTTACCTTTAATGATGCAATCTACTGCTTTGGTTGTACTGAGCAGTTCAATTAGAGCAGTAGAACAGTTACTTAACAGAGTGGAATTCATTTCCTTTAAAAAAGATTTATATTGGATAACACCAAAATCACCCAATTATATTTTTCAAACCTAAGTATTGTCTTCTGTAACAGTTGAGGTTTAGATGACTTTAATGTTAACTGTTAAATCACAAGTCAAACCCTGCCCCTCCACTTTTGCAGATGGAAGTGATGCAGGAGACACGGAGCGGCTGGAAGAGCTTCCCCTGTGCAGCTGCAGGATGGAGGCTCCTCGGGTGGACAGCACCAGCCACCGTGTCAGCAGACAGTGCATGGCCACTGAGAGCATCGATGGAGAGGTTTGTCCCTGTGTTTGCTCTCTGTGTTTACCCTGCAGGTGGCTACTTTTTGTTTTATAACATACAGTATTAATTGATTTCTTTAGCTCTGTGTGAGGTAAAGTATTCAACATTGGAAGACTTTTTATTTTTTTTTAATTCTCAGTTTACTACATGTACAAATGCATTCAGGAAAATCAAAAGACCGTTTCTCTCTCACCTTAGTATAAAGAAGAATTTAGAAAAAATCTGAGCATTTCAGGGAATGTATAAAACTCAAACCTATGTACACTATGATAGCAGTGCGAGATATAAATCAGTAGAGCTGTGTACAAGGACAGTACTGAAAATGCACGCGTTATGTGTGTAGGGGTAAAAGAAAAGCCGATGAAAGCTGGATTTAAGATCAAGGGTAACTTTGATGTGGGAAAAAATTTGGAGGATCAAATATATGCTTTTCATCTGGATCCAGCTCAGACATTACTTTCTCTTTAGCAGTTATTATTATACAGCTGGGAAGCGCAAACAAAAATATGACCTAATAATTGTTCATAGAGTTTTTTTTCTCTCTCATTCTCTGCCTGTAAAACTGTGTAAAATGCAGTAGATGTCATTTTTTATGGCAATAACATCTTAAAAATATTTAATCTAACTCAGTAAAGGTTTCAGAAATCCTGGAGTTCATTTAAGTTCATTTTTTTTCTCCTGTTGTGTTTGTCAGCTGCGAGCTTGCACCAATCGGACTATTAAGGGGGAGACCATGAGGCCGTCCAGTCGGGTTCCCCTGATGGTGCTTTGTGACGTCCATCGCTCACACATGGTCAAACACCACTGCTGTCCCGGCTGTGGATATTTCTGTATAGCGGTAAGTGTTAAAACCACCTGTTTTCATATTTGAAGACTCTAGAGTGTCTATCGAATGTGGTTTTGGCATCTTCTTACACAACAACCTGCGAGAATGTGGCTCAAGTTTGTTCCTGTAGAGTTTTACACGTGAACTGAAACCAAAGGAAGTTGTTTACAGAACTTTAGACTTTAGATATTTCCTTAGTTCTTATTTCTCCTTCTCAGTTCTCCTGTATATCGTCTCTGATAATGGTCTTAGTCCTCTTTTTCTTCCTTCTCTCTTCTTGTTTATGCTTTTCTTCATCTGCCTCAGTATATTCTGTGCAGTAGACTTGTTTTTCCTCTTTGATATCTTTTTTTTTTTTTTTTTTTTTACATATCTGGTTTTATTCTTCTGCTTTATGCTCCTCTTTCAGGGCACATTTCTTGAGTGCTGCCCAGATCAGCGCATAGCTCACCGTTTCCACCGGGGGTGTGTGACGGTGCTGGGCGGCGGGCGCAGCAGAGCAAATGGCGGAGGCATGCTTTTCTGTCCCCATTGTGGCGAAGATGCCTCCGAGGCGCAGGAGGTCACTATCCGGTCGTTCGGCACGGCCTCCGCAACTACGGTCGTCACCATGTCTGCTTCCTCCACCACCACACCGTCTCTGCCACCATCTGTCCCCACGGGACCCTCTCTCACAGCCTCCACAGGTGGGATGAAGGATGGGAAGATGCCCGAAAGACCTGTCAGGTAAGGCTAAATGACATGGGAAATGTCAGAATTTAAAATGTGTTTTTTTTTTTTCTTTTTCTTTTTTTGCTTCCATACTTTCCTGTCTTTTCAGTGCTCGTATGCGTAGTCACGGCTTGGTAACACCTGCAGTAGAGCAGCAGCAGCCTCCTCAACCTGTAGCTTCAGCTGCAACTGCGACCACCGTCCCCCCAGCAGAGGAGGGCGTGGACAGCGTAGGACCTTCGCTCTGCATGCCAAATGGGAAGCCAGTCAGCCCAAGTGCACTTCCACCTGGGCCCAGTAGGGCGGCGCTGCAGAAAGCCATTCTCACGCAGGACACAGAGAGGTTGGAGACTTGATTTAAGTTGAATTATTTTCAGCTCCATCTGGTTAAAGAGCTGAATACCAGGCTGAAGCAGGTTTAGTTTCAGCTTTTGAGCTTCATTTGTTTCCTTAAAATATACACACAGCTCTCTTTTTATATTTTTTCCCCAAGCAGAGCATTCCTGTCATCTTCTGAAATCTCTTAATCTGTTTTCACAAGTGAACTTGGGGTTGGGCTTTATTTCACAGAGGTGCAAACTCAAATGTAGTATTCGCTAACGATAAATGCACCACTCTGTTATCTGCTCTGTTCACACATCGGGCTGTAATGTGTGTAAAAACTGCTTTAAACTTGCACAGAAAGATGATACATTGCTGTAAATGCAGGCATAAACATCTTCCATCACTGTTTGCTCAAAATCTTCCAAAAACAGTGGCTTTCTCTGAAAAACTAAATCGCTAGTTGTTTGGAGGCCAAATTGGTAAATTACTACTTTTCATTTGCCAGGAGGAAGAAACTGAGGTTCCACCCTCGTCAGCTCTACCCTGCCGCCAAGCAAGGAGAGGTGCAGAGAGTCCTGCTCATGCTCAGTGAGTGGCAAAAACTGCAGCGCTTCCACTGTGCTCCTTTATATTTCGACTTGTATACTTTGACAAAAATGGTTGTTGCCTGTTCTTTTAATAGGTATTCATCATGATAGAGTTCATTATGTAATCAGCTTACGATCAGTTTAAATTCCTCAATCAAAGAAAATGTTACATATGAACACACTAAAGAAAATAAACAGGCACGGAAGTGCTGTTACTCCATCACATCACATGTACACTATTGCCCTGAAATCTTCAGAGTGAAAAGAAAGCAAACACATGACCACTAGTTATCTATTAAGTGTGTGTGTGTGTGTGTCCCAGTGGAGGGTATCGATCCAACGTACCAGCCGGACTCTCAGAACAGGCGCTCCGCTCTTCACGCTGCAGCTCAGAGAGGTCTGCTGGAAGTCTGCTACATGCTGATACAGGTGAGAAATGAATGAATGTTACACTTGTCTTTGCTTCTTTCATCTGTGGATGTGAGCTTACTCGTTTTCTATGAGGCTGCAAATAGAGCTTACTTTTGAAATTTCAAAATTAGTATAGTTTGTATAGTTTAGCAATGGAAAGAAAAAGCTGGCATGCTTTTTAAGAATCCCAGATGAGTCATAGAGATGGTTGCTTTTTCTGATTAATGGCCCAAAACATAAAGATAACTCTTGCACTGAACAGCCTTTTTTTTAAAATTTTATGATGCTGTTTGCATCTGATCCTTTCAGCTCTGCATTTTCACAAACAATTAACCATTTAAAAATGAAAATGGGCACACATCATTGCTTTTAGGATGTGCCGAAATTAAAGTATTTCATTTAAATATTACACTTGATTCCACACTGACAGGCTGGTGCTCAAGTTGATGCCCAGGACAAGGACCTGAGGACTCCTCTGTTGGAGGCTATCATCAACAATCACATTGAGGTGGCTCGCTACCTGGTCCAGAATGGCGCCTGCGTCTATCACGTTGTAAGTGTCTCCAAACAAATAACTGTGAACCATAAGAGGTTTGCTGGATATGGATTTTTTTTTTAAATAAATGATTATTATTTATTTATTTATTTTATTTTATTTTTTTAATATATCATTGTTCATCAGGAGGAGGATGGATATACTGGCCTCCACCATGCTGCCAAGCTGGGAAACCTTGAGACTGTCAACATGCTTCTGGAGACGGGGCAGGTTGATGTGAATGCACAGGTAAAGCAAGATCCCGGATGTCTATTTTAAAGGAGCAAGATAGCATTTTTGTCTGCCATCACTTACTTTCTCCCTCTTCAATGAAAATTTCAGCCTTTTCCTGACAAGGAAATGATTTGATTAGACTTTGTAAAATAGCCAGAGATTGAACCACCAACCTTCTACATGGCATATGATTCGCTCTGTTGTCCACTCCCGACTCTTCCTGTGGGCTTGTTTCAGGACAGCGGGGGCTGGACGCCAATCATCTGGGCCGCAGAGCACAAACACGTCAATGTGATCAAAGCGCTGCTGAACAGAGGAGCTGACGTCACCATCAATGATAAGGTAGATTTCTACCATAAACTCTGCAAAAGTACACGATACAACGTCTTTGTGCAAGCAGGTGGAGTCGCTCCCTGCTTGGCTTTAGCAAGAATGCAAATTTTAGGCATTAGCCTCACTTTTAAGCCATATTAAATGTTATTGGATTTTCCTAAATTCAGATTAGGACTTTGGAGGGAGGAGTGCATCCACAGCTTAGATAATGGAAACATGTTTAAGCATTATGAAGTGGTTAAACAATTTCCTAGGTCATTGGTGTGAGAGACCACATAGATGCAGTTGTATGAACATATTTCAGGTTTTTACTTTAAACAGTCACGTCTTTCCCATCAGGAGCTGAATGTTTGTCTCCACTGGGCGGCGTATGCAGGAAATGTGGATATAGCAGAGCTGGTGTTGAACGCCGGCTGCTCCCTCTCCTCTGTTAACGTACACGGAGACACACCACTCCACATCGCTGCCAGAGAGGGCTACTTGGAATGTGTTACGTGAGTTTATATACATCTGCTTTTATCCATCAACACATTTAAGGAAATTGGAGACATTTTGCTACAGTTGGTTGGACATGAACTTGTTTTCTCTGGGTTTTTGTTTTGTGCAGGTTGTTCCTGTCCAGAGGTGCAGACATAGACATCATGAACAGGGAGGGAGACACACCTCTTACATTGGCGCGAACTGACACACCAGTGTGGGTGTCACTCCAAATCAACAGGAAACTGCGAAGGGGAATAACCAATCGCATGCTTCGGACGGAAAGAATCATCTGCAGGTAGGTGTTTTGGGTCGATAATGTGTTGTTTACATGAAAATAATCAGCAGTGCAAATTCAAGGATACAATTTCTTGCCAAGATTGATGTAAGAGCTAGTATTTGGTACTACAAAGAAGTGGAACCCCAAATACAGCGATGAAAGCTCCACTTTTATTTGGTTTTCTAAAATGTTAACAGAAACATGAAAAAAATCCCTGCTTAAGTCTACCCCTAAATAAAAAATCCATGACTCAGATTGCATAATGAGGTATGTTGTCACATTGGTTCTGTATGTTGCAATATATTTTTAATAGATGAGACTTTGAGAATTGGACTCTATTTAACCCTTTCATGCATGAACTATGATAACATCAATCCAGATTTTTTTCTTAAGTATTTTTATTCCTCTTTAGGCATGTAAAAAAGATTTTTGACTTCATTTATTTAAACATGTACTTTCCAAATAGTTTTTTACATGTCCACTTACACATGTCCACTGGCTGACCAGTGGGTAGCAGGGTATCGACTGACACATCAGTGTCCAATGTAGTGGTTTCTGTGCAAGTATACCATCAACACTGACACAAATGCAAGAAAACAGCCGTTGAATAGCTGTCCACTGTAGTGACCACTATGCGTAAGTTGAAACCTATCACACTGTGTACTTAAGTCTATGCTAGGCACACCCACCATTTATCTGGCAGCTCAATGCCAGGCTCACGCCCCAAAACCATTTTAGTTTTGGTATCAAGAGCCATGAGTGCATCATGTATGCTAAATGATGTGATTTATGATTAGGTCCAGGGGACTTCCCATGGTCGATCAGTGGGGAAACATGCAGATTAAGCTTTTTGCTTTGTGTGTCAGTGACATCGCACAGGGCTACGAGAATGTTCCAATCCCCTGCGTGAATTCGGTGGATGATGAAGGATGTCCATCGGATTACAAATACGTTTCAGAAAACTGTGAAACTTCAGCAATGAACATAGACCGCAATATCACACACTTACAGGTAACTTCATTTTGTCTCCACACAACAGAACTTTTATTTTGAAAAATGTATTCTTCATTTTTCCTTGTTTTGTTTTTTTCTCCCCCTTCAGCACTGTAGTTGCACTGATGACTGCTCATCTAGCAACTGCCTCTGTGGACAGCTCAGCATCCGCTGCTGGTATGACAAGGTAACAAACTGTCTGGGGAAAAAATACCATCATAATCATTAGCAGCAGATTTCATATGAAGTTAAATTGGCAGAGTTATTCTTATTCTATCATATTTTTTTTCACCTCTTTTTCTGTTACAAGGATCAACGGCTGCTTCAGGAGTTCAACAAAATCGAACCTCCACTAATTTTCGAATGCAACATGGCTTGCTCTTGTTATCGAACGTGCAAGAACAGGGTGGTCCAGGCAGGGATCAAGTGAGTATCAGCAATTAAAGAAATGCATAAATCTCAGCCAGATTACACGTCAGACTACAAACCGACACCAAAGAATCTTAACCTCATATCATCTGGAGAGATTTCTAACAAATAAACTCAACTGCTAAAGTTTTGATTGGGGGGGGGAAAAAATGATTCTTCTCTTGTGCAGTAATCAACAACCTGCTGACCATCTTTCTACATCTTGCTGAGGGCAGCAATGGTAAAGCAATAATTATTAATCACTCTGCACCTGAGTCAGTCACAGATGTTTAACAGTGCAGAGGCAGCCATGTGTTGCAAATAGCCATCACTGGCTTTTTTTCTTTTTCCCCCCCGGTTGATGAGTGTCTGCTTGATACTTCACCCTTAACCCTATTTTTTTCATCTTTCCTCCTCAGAGTTCGTTTGCAGCTGTACAGGACAGAGAAGATGGGCTGGGGAGTTCGAGCTCTGCAAGACATTCCACAGGGAAGCTTCATCTGCGAGTAAGAGGAAAAAAAACCCTCTGCTGGCACACACTAGGCTGCTTTTCTGTAAAAAGCTAGAGGTTAAAAAAATGAAGCTTACCTTCCTCTTTCTGCACAGATATGTTGGAGAGCTGATCTCAGATGCAGAAGCAGATGTTAGAGAGGATGACTCCTACCTGTTTGACCTGGACAACAAGGTGAACCTTCTTAAATTGTGTATTTCAAAACATGGACATCATGTGGGGAAAACGGAAAGAGGGGGCACACAGCTGTATAATTATTAATCAAAAACTATGAAGTAAATAATTGACCAAGTCTTAATCTTGTGTTTCGAAGGTTAGGGTTTAAGCCCCTTTCTTGTGTTGACACTGATTCTAAAAATATGAAGATACTTTTATCGTGGTACTTTGAATTGATGATTGTGTTGTAGTATTTTAAATTGTATTTAATAATTTAATAGGAATAAATATGCCCATAGCAGAAATAAACGTCTGCTATGATTTCCTCAACTGTCTTTTTTTTTCTGTATAGGATGGGGAGGTGTATTGCATCGATGCCCGGTATTACGGCAACATCAGCCGCTTCATCAACCACCTGTGTGACCCAAACCTCATCCCAGTACGTGTGTTCATGCTCCATCAGGACCTGCGATTTCCGCGCATTGCCTTCTTTAGCTCCAGAGACATCCTCAGTGGGCAGGAGCTGGGGTAAGAAGTCATAAGTGCCTGGTTGGACCTTAAAGTTGTGGTCAAGAGTTTACATGCACTCATCATGGGCAAGAATTAGGTTAATCCAAGAAGAATAATTGTAGATTTACATCAGCTGGGAATGGCTGTCATAGCAGTTTCGAACAACTGCTATGACAGATCATCTTAGGTTTTCATCTATAGGTTTTCATCTTGTGAATAACTTGATCATCTTTTCAAACAACTGTGCTGTACGTAAGTACAGTGGATCTCTCTGTCACCCTCAGGTGAGAAAAAATTCTTAGGATGTTTGGAATAACCAGGAATCACCTGCCATGAACCAGAAACTCCTGGTATCCGGTCTTTAAGTGATGACATATGAACTTTGTCACATATGAGCTTCCAGGTCCAAACTACTCTGTTTATTAAAGCTGTTGTGTTTTTAAACATGTTTTAATGCTTTGTATCTTGTTCCGTGTAATCTGAACAAGCCCCTAAAAACAGTCAGCGATCACTGTCGGCCTCTCTCGGTTTTTATTACACTAATCATTTTAAAGCTCAGTTTTTAAAACCTTACGATGTAACTACAGCTCAGCTCATGCTGCAGTGTTTTAATGACTAACCTCTTATTGCGGATGGATTATCTCAGTTAATCTCCTGACTCAAGTTTGGTCCTTTTACAATCCTGCCATGCAGTTGCATTTGTTCCTAACCATCGGAAACCCTCGCGTTAACTTTTATAGAGTGGAAAAAAGTTGGTGTTCATCCTCCAGCTTCACTGTTTTTACATTATGAAAAAAGAAATTAAATTACCATAACTGTACACTTGCCCATGAAAAGTGTATGTGAACTAAATTGAACACAACTGTGTGTAATTTATTTCCTGCTTAGTTGAGCCCTCTTTTCTTTCTGTTATCTGGAAATCTATTCTAATGGTCTGTCTTCTGATTGGTCCTTAGGTTTGACTACGGAGATCGGTTTTGGGACATTAAGAGCAAATATTTCACCTGTCAGTGCGGCTCGGAGAAATGCAAACATTCTGCCGAAGCTATCGCCTTGGAGCAGAGCCGGCTAGCTCGGCTGGAGGCCGGCCCAGAATCAGGAGCTGACTGTGGGCTGACCATGCTAGGGAACTCTTAAACAAACAAAAAAAAAAGACACTTACCCATGGGGCCTTTGGATTAACCCCTTCTGTTGCATACACTAGTAATGGAAATACATCATAGCGGGGCTACATCTTCATTCATCATTCAGTTTTATATCTAAGGTGCTGTGTGTTTTTCTACTTGAACTGCAATTTCTTTTCCTGAAGCTGTCAACAGCCACTTTATCTTGTCGAGGATTTGGGCCGGAAGATTTTTTTTTACCATGTAGGAGTTTGGAGAAAGAAATGACAGAGGTCTTGTAATTCTTTACGCACAGTATTTTAACTGTAAATCATAATGTACTCATGCCTTGACTCTTTGCGTGTTAGCAGTCTGCCATCATGTACCAGTCATATATACAAACATGTATTTTATACTTTTTCTTTTTTTTTCTTTTGTTTCTCTTGTGCCAACAAGTCATGCATTTTGATACAGAGCAGTAATGGTTCGGGTGTTTACTCATGCTGGACCGAGTAAGGCTGTTTTTGATTACCATGTTAGCTTTGTTTTGTTTTTTTTGTTTTGTTTTTTTTATACCTGCTGTTTACTGTCACATGTAGTGTAATAAAATAACTCGTGAGTTGACTTCTGTGCTGTGGCTTTATTAAAATTAAGAATCATGGCCTACACATGTTTAAAGTCACTTGATTAATTTGTTTTATTTGTGCTCAGCCTTGACTTTGTCTGGTTTTTGGTTTCCTAGTTTCTGTTTTAACAACAAAGGCCCTTTAGACAATAATGCAAAGCAAGAGGAGTGGGAAGCAGGACTGGGTATGATCAGATGTGAAGATTAAAGGTGGAAGTCTCACTCTGAGCAAATTCAATTTCAACACAGAAGAGACTCCACACTAATGTCTACAAGTCCAATTTAAAATCACCAGTTAATCTAAGAGGCAAGACACGTAAACACAATGGCTGCAGACCTTTGCTGCCCCCTAACAAAAATGCTAGCTCCCACTGGACGATAATAGGACACACACACACAAGTGTCATTTATTTATTAGACAAAGCACAGCTCTGGCTCAGTGAAGGAAACACTTGTACGCATTTTAAAAACCCAACAAATCTAAACATTTTTACTAGGACTACACACGCAATGACAAGGCTAAAAAAGGGCTAAAAATAAGATTTTTTGAAAAGCTTCAACTGAATTATTTCTCTTTATGTATTGATTTTAGTCATGCCAAAGTATTACCATAGACCTCTACCATTACACTATGCAGAGCGAGTCCTCTTGTTAATAAACAATCTTTGGTCCACCGCGCAGGTGCGCATCCCTCAGCAGGTGCGCGTGCAGCGTCATTCCCTGGTTACAGCTGCCAGGAAGAAAAAGATTTCTTCAGTCATTAGTTGCAATGTCCGCGCTAACGCGGCGAAGCTCCCTCGGAAAAAGTCGGTTTTAGCTTCTTGTTTGTTTTAAGCTCGCAGTGTGTAGAAGAAGTTGCATTTTATGAGTGTGGAGGTCCAGGCGGAACATGGCTAAAGAAACACAAGAAGAGGAAAATCCGAACTCCGAATACGGTGAGCTGACGTCGGCCGTTGGTGTTCTCAGAGGATCTGCTTTCAGCGTTAAAGTAAAAATTTCCAAAGGCAGCTGAGAAAACTCTGAAATGAACGAGTTTAGAGTTAAATACTTTGTGAGAGCTGTGTTCATTTTTTGTGTCACGCCATTTTCTTTTTAGAGTTTTAAGTTAAAGTTTCTAACTCTTTTTTTTTTCTTTTTTTTTTTAAATGAAGTGGTTATTAGCATAAACCCACTGTTTCTAACGTGGATTTTTTTTAAATGACTGTTAGGTCGTTAAAGTTCAGTGATATCTTAATTATCTTCCTGTTTAACAGTAGGCCGTGTGCCAATATTAGTCTAATCAAACTGTTTTATTGTTTTACAGATAACCTAGTTTTATTGTGACAGTTTTATTACTGACAAATCAGGACACCTCAGAAACCTGACTCTAAGAAAAAAGACAGTATCCAATGGGAGAAATAAGAAGGCTAAAATAGTTTTAAATAATTGCATCCTTTCCTTTAAAATTTCTTCCATTATTAATGTAATGCTTAGATTTAATCACAGTGTCAGTTGAGCATGGCCTTATGGTCAAATGTGTTAACTGTGTAGTGTTGGGGTTCGAAGGATTAGATACTAACTAACTAAATACTTGGTTATCTCTCATCTAAATACCAGTTTGTTCTCCCTGATGAGAATCCTCAGTTATTTAGGCTTGAAAGTTGCCTAAATCAACGTTTTATCATGAAAATATGTGCAGTTTATTTCTATAATGATCAGTTAACATTGTTTCATATTAGGGCGAATGTACACATAAGCACTATTAGTCTGCATAGTGTAAAAGCAGGGAGTCTGTGTTGCATTAGTTAACAGATTGTGGCCTTGTGGCCTTGTGGCTTGTGATTGTGGTTTGCACACAAACTCTAAAACTGGAGATGCTTAGATTCTTAAAAGACAAATTCTGTTGCTGCTGATGAAAACGTTTTGGCCACTTCACCTTGTGGAACGGAGTCTGCTCTGTTGGAGTACGTCATGAGTCTGTTGGCACTCTGGCAGGTTTGATAAGGCTACAATAAACAAACCCTCCCTGGAGGTAAACATACATGGATGGATGGATTTCATGTCCTTCCATATAAGATGTAAAAACCAGGTGACCACAGCATCACTGGCAGCTGGACCTCTGTTTCTTAAAAGTGTGTGTGTGTGTGTGTGTGTGTGTGTGTGTGTGTGTGTGTGTGTGTGTGTGTGTGTGTGTCTCAATTCAGATGAGTGGTCTAATGATGATTCAGCTTTAAAGCTATTCTTTGTTGCTCTGATTGGCTTCACAGGGAAGTAGAAATCATTTTCAGGGCTTTGGACACTTCCTGATTCATTAGTGAGAGATTTGTTTGCTCCCTTTTTTGGAGCTGTTGCACTTTGGTCTTGGTTAAGAAAGTTTAGACAGTGTTGAGAAAGATGTGCCTTATTGCAAATCATTGGCCGCAAAACTTGTTAAGCCTGCCTGGTTCAACAGGTGAACCAATGTCAGAACATAACTCTGTTAATAAAGCTAATGTAGGAGACAGGAGAATCGCACATAGGCTTTATTTTACATTCTTAACACATTTATAAAATGACTGAGTTAAATAAAATGATTTTGGTGTCAGCTGTCTGATAGTGAGTTGGAGTTTGTAGATTTGTTGCTGTTCTTGGGATCATTGTCCTGTTACATTACACAGCAACACACAGCCAAGCTTAACCTGTCAGACAGGTTTGGCATTTCACTCTACGGCATTTGACAATTTCCCCAGTACCCTTAATAATGGGTTTTGACACCTCTAGTATATATCAATAAAAACATGGTTAGATGCTCATTAGAATAGGTTCCTATTTTTTCCAAGGGTAAACACTGACAAAGACAACTCTCATTCCACAGGTCGGATTCGAACCAAGCTGTACAGTATATGGTCGCCTGCTCATCCCAGTGAGCTAAACTGGCTCTTGTTCATGGTTGACTTTACACAGTTGGTATGGGGTGTTTGTGCTGACATGGTTGTGTCTGTCTGAAGGACACTGTCCTAGAAGTCTTGTGATTTGTTCACATACAACTTTGCAAACTTAAATCCTGCAGCCATGTTCTTTTGTGGGAGAATAAGCTTCTTCTTTCTTTTTCATTATTTTTTTCAAATTGATGTTCTAATAAGAAAACCTTTCTCTGGTTATTGTAGCCATTGGAATGTTTAATCACAAGATATCCAGGAGTCGCATAACATTTGAATATTTAAAAAACCCAAAAACACCCCCGTTGTAAATCCGTCTCTGCCGGCTACAATTAACCAAGCCATAATTTCTTTTTACAGACAAACCGAAGAATTTAGGCAACATCTATGTTTTTCTTTGTGTCAGAGTCTCCTTGTGCCACTTCTATGTTAAGTCATTGCTTTAACTGGTTGCATTGCTTTGGGTTTAAAGGACTGGGTCTGTTCTGTAATCTGCCTCATTCATCTTAAGACAGGGTCATGCGATAACTTTCGTATTCATGGTCCTTTGTAATTTTTTCAAACTCAAGCTGTAAAATACCAGCCTGTATGAGGTTCAAAGTTTAAAGGTTTAAGGCTTTGCATCAGTTTTTTACGAGGTGTGTCATCTAAAGGTGCAGACTGTCATTTACTCTAAACACACAACAGCGTCCTAGCAGATGAAATCTGACACTCACGGAAAAACAAACCAGTGAAAAGCTGTCTGTGTTGTCAGCATTTTGTATCTCTGACGTTTCTCTAAGTATTTCTCGAGTGGAGATTTGGAGGACGTTAGTGTAGTCTTTTCAATGAATTGTTTGTTTGACACACCTGATATTTCAATGACTGAACAATACTGAGATGAAAAACTTTCTGATCTTATGTGTTGCAGTAATTGGCATTTTATTAGCCCTTCCTGTTTTGAAGGATTACACTATAATGTACATTTAGCTTTTTGTTATGGCCACTTATTGCCAGCTTTGAATCACATGATTGGCCCTGAAGTTCATACATCCTGTTGTAATATTTGCATCCTTCTCGGAAAGCCTGAGGGACTATGTGCAATGTTGACACACTGTCCTTTCAGCTCTATTCAAATTACTCAGTGAGACGACTTTTAAATGTTGTAACTTTTAAGCTACCTTATGCTTTTAGTTTTCATAAAGTGAGGAGTGCAGCTTTTTCTTATGATCAAATATGAAGTACACGTGGATTACAAAGCCATAAATTGTTTAGTCATTGTATTTAATACCATATGAGGGTGGCTTGTCCTATCGGGTTATTCCTGCTCGACAGGATAATGCAGATCTGACTTTGGTGGATGGAATTTTTTTTTTTCAGCTGAAAGTCTCTCAAAGACGTTTCCTGAGTTTCATTGTTTGCAATTAAACTAGTACACTTTGCTTTGTAGAGGCAGGACAGTCTCATTGTTTCAATTCAAATTCTATTTTTAAAAAAAACTATGTCGACAAATGATTATCCTGAGAGCTGCTGCTGTCAGTGCTGTGCTTCACTCAGTCATTTTTTTTTACTCCCTATGGTATGATTAAACATATATTTTCTAACATAAAATATGCATTTTATTTTATATTCAGACCCGCTTGATTTGTAAGTCCACTGTATTCATTGTTGGTTCCTGCTAACTGTCCCTCTCTCTGTTCCAGGAAACAACAATGACATATTTCTTCCTAGTAATTCAATTCCTGTCATAGTGATTATACAGCAACACCTCTATGAACAATCAGCCCATAAAATATGAATGCAAGTCCCTGAAAGTTTTCCTTATTCACTTAGAAGTAATTCATTAACTTTAAACAGAGGGTGCCTGTTTTTTAAAGTTAAACAAATCTAACTATAAGAAATATTTCAGGAACTGGCTAAATAAAACTCCAGTATAACCAGGTTGAAAGATGGCAATGGTCAAAATGTCTTTATCCAAAAAGGCCTGTTTTAATAACTGCAACTTGTCCATTGTTGCACAGTTATACATTAAATCAGCAGTTCAAAAATGTGTAAGAAACTGCTAATGTGTCCTTGATCATCTGTTCACAAATAAGGAAGTTGTTGATTAATGGCGAATGTTTGCCTTTCCCAGGACAACCA